TCATTACGTTCGTAGCTTTTATAGTAGGGGTCTGATATTTTTCTCTCCATTTCGGCAGATATGCTGCAAGAAGATAGATAGAGATCGAATAGGAAGTTCGATGATGGAAAAAAACATGGACACGATACGAATACACAAACACGAACATGTCGGATTATATAACACGAATTCTTAATGTGTCAAACATGGCTCATGCATGGATAGTTCTATAAGCTACTGAAAGACTTGCTCTCTTTGCACTTAATATGTCAAGGATAGTGTTGTTCATTAGAATAAAATCTATATATGTTGTCACTGTTAAATGTATTCTCATACTGGTGTGCAAGTTGCTAGTACTGAATGTAAGGAAAGGAAGATATTCTGGATTATTTTATTCCTTCTCACCACTGTTCATGGACACTATAAATAGCTGTCCAAGGTGGCTAGTTCTTCATCAAGGCTAAGCAGTTCAAAAACATCTTTTTAAAGTTCCCAAAGAAGCTTCATACAGCTCTCACATTAATTACCAAAAACACTTCTCTGCCGCATAACAATGGATGCAGTTGCAAGTATGGTTGCAGACAGGCCAGTGGTAATCTTCAGCCGGACCACTTGTTGCATGAAACGGGAAACAAGTCGAAAGGGCACTGCAGCAGATGGGGTGCAATCCAAGTGTGCCAGCTGTTTTCATAGGCCAGCAACTCATTGGAGGAGCTAACCAAGTCATGTCCCTCCAACTGAGGAACCAGCTTGGCACATTGCTCATAAGGGCTGGAGCAATATGGATTTGAAAGATCAAAGTAAACTTCAATGAACTCAAATAAACTGGTAAATGGTTTTATTATCTGTGTTTCCCTTTTTGTTTTTGTATGAGTTGCAGAGCATCCTAGTACACAATTTTTGGGGCTGACCAGGGTTATGTAGCATTTTCCTTGTACCGACTTGTATTTATACTGCACGTGTAATATCTATCCCTTGTATGTGCTTTAAATAAAAGTATATCTGCTGTCATGGGAACAATTGGCTCATAGATTTAGTAGTAGAAACATCACAACAAGCTTTAGAGCAGCAGGTAATGTAATAACAGCATGAACTGGAAGGAAAAAATAATGTTTAAAAGCCAAGCTTTAGCATCAGAATGCACATAAAAAGTAGAACTTGAGATGATAGTTTCAATCTACAAGAACAATTTAATCTCAGTTTCAACAACAGCTTCAGATGTCTTTCGACGATGCACTTATTTCAATTTGTAAACGGTGTTCCCTCGGTTTAATCAAAGCCTTTGACGGCCGATTATTCCATTTTAGGTTCATCATAGACAACAGAAGCCTCCATACCAGCTTCATAGCACCACATATTATTAATTTATTACCCAGTAGATCTTCAGCAGCAGTTACAGCATGTGCCATATCATCAAGAAACTCAAAGTTGACTTCTGTACTGCATATGAGGTTGGACCATATTCCGAGCACAACAGCAGCTTGGCGGATGCCAACCCGGTGTAGCAGTTGTATTCACGGGGCAAATTATCAGGGGAAGTCTTCATCACGTTACGACCCTCCATGTGAATCATCAAATAGTCTCATTGCCTAATATATCGAATTACATGCAAGCGTTGATGGCATAAACATGGATTCAAGTATTCACCCTAATAGCACACCCTACACTGAGGAAACATCCACAAAGAATACCTTATCAATCATCAGAAACAGTAACTCAGTTTTGAATCCAGGGGCTCTTAGAAAGAAGTTACCTGGTGGGATCAAATTCAAAGCATATAACTGCATAATGGCCTGAGCATTATTCCATTTCCTCCCAAGGATAAAAACAGTTTTCGGTCATTAATAAGCAGTGCTTCGATGTACAATCATTTATACCGAGACCGGTTAAAAGAACACATGGACTTGTATCCTGGTAAACCCAAAACAGGTAAAGAACATCTAACATCTGCCAAGATAACTACCTGAGAGAAATTCATCTTGCCACAAACACTGTATAATCTATCATCAGTATACAGGAAAAAATTCCACTGAAGGGGAAAATGACAACTTTATTAAGAACTGATAGCAAAGTCTATATAACAAAATAAACACTCAGCAAAAGTTTTTACTTTCCACATTCTCTTCAAATTTCCTTCTATCAATCAACCGAAAATAATGCAGCCGCATGATGATTGTTCACCTGCGGATGTAATCTTTCAAAACTCCGTTTCTTTGCTCCGTAATCGTATTCCCCCGCCAATTCTCGACGGCTCTACGAACCGTCGCGTTTGCCACGCGAATTTCTTCAGCGGATAAACTATGCTCGATGATTCCCAAGGGCTCAGGTTGTAAAACCTGGATTACGATTCCCATTTCTCGCTCCAATTGCCTGAAAAAAAATATCAGGGGAAAAAGGGAGACAAAAAACAAAGATTCGATCTTTTTCGAGACTGGGATTTCCGAATTCGGAAACCCTAAAAAAGGAATTCAAGGCTGAAATTTGTAGTACCAGAAGAGCTCCGGGATGGGCAATATGTTGCCTAATTGAGAAAGAGAAGCCCGCATCTCGTCCGTACCGTTTTCAATTCGAAAGATCGACGGAGAAAATGGCGGTGGATTTTTCAGACTCCGCGCCGCCGCCAAGGAACAATGCAAACCTACGGGTTTAAAACCGCATATGAAACGCAGCGTTTTATCAAACCAATTAACTGGAGATATCTGTGGTCAAACTATAAGTTTGATCCCTCTTTTGTTGTCATATTTTGGATTTGGCTACTATACTTTATTCTGATGTAATTTGGACCTTCTATAATATCTTTAGTTAGTCCTAATAGTTCAATTATACATCATTAATTCTTCTTTTAAGAAAACATCATTAATTCAGTTAGCCTTAACTCTTTTTTGGGTGTTTGAGAGGTGTTGAAAAATTTTAATGGGTTTTTTGGGCTGCAGATGAACGTTAGTAAGTATGAGTTGTTTTTCTTTGGAGTTGAGACCTCTGTTCTTCATGAAATCTTTTGAGGTCAAGGGCATCAGAAGTGGGGGAGTTCCCTGTTAGGAATTTGGGCATTCATATTGTTGTCAAGAGGTTTACTGTTAGAGATTGCAACCCTCCGATCGAGAAGATTGTATAAAAAATTCAAGGTTGACAAGCTAAGGTTCTTTCGTATGCTAAGAGGCTTCAATTCGCATGAGCTGTCATTTATAGTATTGAAAAGATACGACAGTGTGAGGGCGAGGGTTAGTTGGGCACAAATCTGGACTCCTAAAGCAGAGGGGGCCTTGGAACCAAGCTTACATGATTGGTTTGATTAGGAAGGTGGTGTTCAATGACGGTTCTATTTGAGTAGCCTGAATCGATGCTTATATCATTAAGAGTAACTCATTTTGGGACTTATCTTGTCCTCATAGCTGCAATTGGACTCGGAGGTGCTTGCTTCATCTTCGGGGGAATGCAACAAGCATTCAGGGGATGTATGGGCCTCGCAAAAGGCTTGTGTGACACTCGGATCATATTCCAAAGTGTTCTATCATTATTTAGATGGCTGATTTGGACAGACTTCCTATCAAGCATAGGCTTATCTTGTTCGGGATGACTGTGAACTGTATTTGCAAGCTTTGCTCGGTTGAGCAGGAAATAAGGGATCACTTGTTTTTCTAAGAGTGTGGGAAAGCATTCTAAATTGCTGTCACCAACAGCGTAACGTGTTGGATTGGAGTCATGAACTGAGTTGGGCTTACCGATCTTTGAAAGATAAATCTTTGCTCTCTACTTCGTTGAAAACGTCATGAAATTATTGCGTTGCCTTTATATAGAGGGAGCGTAACCGGAGGCATTTCCGGGGATCTACTGCTATTGTGAACGATCTTGTGGAGCAGATTAAACGTATGATTAGTCTGAAGCTGCGCGTGATGGGGATTAAGTCTGGAGGGTTTGCTAATAGTGCCTTCTGCACGGTTTGAGATTTGTTGGGCTGACTATTTAAGGGGGGAGGGGCCGTTGATGCGTTTGGTTCACGGAATGTAAGATTATCGGCGAGAATAAAATTACTGGCGGGAATAAGATTACTAAGAATGTTGTATTTTTTGTTTGGTTCGTTTAGCAGTAATGTAAGATTACAATATTTGGTTAAAGGAATAAGAGATTATTGGAATGTATATTTTACCAAATTGTCTTTATTATATATTTGTTTTTTTAACAAGTTGAATTCTACTATAATATTACTATAATTAATTTATATATTTTCTTTAAAAATTTTAAATTCATAAAATTTATTTTTACAAAATTAAAAAGATAAATAGGTTTAATGAAAAGGTAAAATTTTATTTCTGAACTTATATAAAATTTTAATTATGGATTTTTTTAAATCTAAAATAGTTTAAGGATAAATTTGTAATTTAACCTTCGTAGAATTTTTTTATTCAATGACAGAAGAATGATATTTTTGAGGAATTTTTTAAGGGCATTTTAGTCTTAAACACTGGGAATGTAACAACACTTAAGGGAAGGGGTAATCACATTCCTGGTAATATACACCCAAACTACTACTGTTGGGAATAACTTATTACCGGGGTTGAGAATGTTTGCTAACCAAACGGGGGAATGATATTTCATTCCCCCGATAATGCCCCGATAATGTGAGATACCCTAAACCAAACGCCCCTTCTTACTTGATTTGTATAGATTAGTTTGTTTTTACCCTTTTTTTGGTTTGGTTGTTTTGGGTACTCTTGGTTAAGTTGGAATACAATGTGCATATTCATCTAAAAATGGTAATATCTATTCCGTATCTTTCTTAATCGTTGAGACCATATGTAAATAATTAAACTTAAATCCTATAAGAAGAATTACATTCAACGTCCTCGTTATTACTGAGATCATTTAATAGGTCTTTGTATACTTTAATTCATTGTATAGATTCTCGCAACGACACATTCAAGATACAAATTTCAATAAAGTACATATATATATCTACACTCAAGCCTGCAATTAGACCACAAATTTCACACTACGTACACAGATAATTAACTATACACTCTTTCAGTTTATCCACATGCACCTAGTTAACTATGATATCGAATGACGCCTTCGCCTTTGGAAGAACCGAGATTCTGCATTTGGTTTACCCCCTATAGTCTTCACATTTTTTATCCTGAACAATGAGTTGAGCTTGCACAATTTCTTGGTGAATGATCTGAATATCTTGCTCGCAGGGTGAGACCTGACCAACTCTTGTTTCATCGACACATGATCCTTTTCGAGGTCGGTTAGCCTCATCCTCATCCTTGCGACTTCGAGCTTCAGCACTCGGTTCTCTCGTCTAACCGATGCGTAGTTGTCTCTAGGCGAGATGGCTCCGCTCCCCGCACCGCTGCTCGAACGTCCATTGATTGCTCCGAAGAAGAATTGATTGTGGCCTCCGTTCATCGCATTCCGAAGCCTGATTTGCTCGAAGTACAGCACTTGGACAGCCATTTGGACCGGTAACCTTTCGTTCTGTGCTGCATGGCTACATGCTTCTTGAGATAGTTTCTGGCAATCTATGGTTTTACATAGTCTGTATCGTTCGGAATCCTTTATGTTCGGATGAACCTGTAAAAAAGCAAAGCAGAAACTGGTTCAAAGAGTGCCTAGAGATAACTTAACTAGGGGACTACTTAGTGTTTTCTTGTGAGACACTCACCTTGAGGAAGATATCAACGGCTCGGTATAATCCATCGCTAACAATGCGAGCATGGTCGGGAAGTAACTCTGCAAGTGCTATGAATTTTGATGGCAGCAAATTTGTGTCCAGTGCAGCTTCTGCAAGATAAGTGTCCAGTAACTTGGATACTTTGAGGATTGAACATTGTTTGGGAGATCCCGGGCTGTCGAAATCGTATGCCATTTCGCTTTCATCTCTCATTGGATTGTCCTCATCATCATCCTCGTCTAAGTTCAAAAATATGGAGAAGATCCTTAAAATTGACTCTGTATCATACAAGGTTGTATGATTGTTTCCAACTGAATTGGTTGGTAGTAGGATATCTTCAAGAATTGCCTGGTCTAGTTGCAGGCCTATCCTCTTCTCGAGATCCGATCTGCAAGAAGTCGATGCCGATGAGGCTATTGCAGTTTTCAGTAAACTGGAGAGGAAAGCCATGGGAACCAAACTCTTCCTCGATTGAGTCGGCAGTAAGCTAACGATGGCTTCGACGATTACCCTTTGTTTCTTTTGCAGCTCTAAGTCCAACAGGATACCCTTTACTAAGTGATGGTCCCTGAGGACTAGACCTTGAAGAGAATTGTGTGCGTAGTTTATCAAAATTTTGCTGATCATATCCTGTTTTAGACCCTTCGATTTCACCGTCGTTAAAACTCGTTGGAAGAAATCAAGGTTAAGGACCGCCAAAGACTTTCCCCACCAGTCGGACTGTGCTTCCGGTTCGATGTTTGGCATAGCTTTCGATGGGCAGTTGTGGTCAAGTTTCAATAAGCCTGAAGTGAGCTGCTCCTTGCATGCATTATTGGCAATTGCATTGATAAGCCTGTTAACCAGGTTGATATCTTCAGAAACAGGCAAGAGGTTTTCACAACAGTGAAGAACAGATAGCGAGCTCGATATGTTCGAGAGAACCGCATCCTTCAGGTACCCTTCTGTCCGAGCTTCCAAGTTCTTCTCCGAAAACTCTTCTGTCATCTCCAGGAAATGCGATGCACATCTTAACATCGCGACGTTCGATAACGTAATCTCGATATTTATTCCATAGCAGAATTTTGCAGCTAGCTCAAACGCTTCAGGTCCACCAGGAATAGAAGAGAGATTCATACGTGAAACCGTTGCATCCTTCGCCTCGACCAACAACTTATGGATTCTTCCACTCCGAGACACTAGAGGGAACTGAAAAGAACATTTACAACCACATAACTAAAGCTTCTATCATAATGATGCAACAATTTCTTGGTCACAAGGTAAACATCTTTCAAATACCATACGCATCCAGCGTACACCAGAATTACAAATTAGCTGCTAAAGAAATCCCAAAACAGTTTCACCTTACCTTGTGAAGTGCAAAGCTTGATGCTCCTACTTCAATGGTGAGATCACTAGAAACATCAGAAATAGGCCTGCAAGATCAATAACCGGCTTAAAACGATGCTGAAAAGAGACTAAAACTACACTCATGCGAGAATCGATGAATGAAATTGTACATGCTTGTTAGTGTAAATAGTTTAGTTATCACATTGTTGCTTTTGGCATAAACCTGCATTCCCATGCTTGAACTCAAGAATCCCTCAATTGTTTCATTGAACATCTCAGTCAATGGGGGAAAAGAAACCTACCATGGTTCATGGTTCGACATGGAGGTCCACCCACATGGGGAAACTGACAAGTGACAACTCAATAATTATAGCACGAGTGGTGTTGGTTAAGCAACAGTGAGTGAAATAAGGTCATATGGTAAAAAAAACAAGTAAGCTATTTTACAGACATTCATGGCTATGAATTACTGGGAACCAAATGGGACCCTGAATTTTATTTGATAGCTGCGTGTGTTTTTGTTGCATTCTAGAATATAGCAACCATTTGATACGGCAGCTTATGACAATATAGCAGTTCATATTATTGATTCTGTAGGATAACTACTACACGACCCTCTATCCGGCGACTGAGGTTCGTGTTGCAGTCGCTCCGAATGGAAGACTTCCAAGGTCAAGAACTTAGCTTCGAAAGAGGTTAATCTGTCATACTCAACTGTGACTGTTCCAGGCTTATCAGCAAGTGGGAAATTATTGGACAAAGAAGATTTAACACTTTGAATAAATTATGAAAATAGGATCCAGAAATGAAGAATGAAGTTGGAAAACATCACTTTCGAAATTAAAATATCTGAATCATTAACTCGGGTTTCAGAAGCTGTTTTGGTAGGTGAAACACAATGGTCCAAACTCAATTAAATTGTAGGAGTTTTCAAAGTTCCATGCATCAGAAGTAATAACAAAGAAGAAACATACTACCAATTCAAATTCTAATGCCTTAGCAATCACTGTGCAACAAAGAAGAAGAAGGAGAAGAAAGTTAATTACCATTCAGTGGCATGCCATGAACTTGGACGAAAAGATCTCTTCCCTGATACAGTAGGTTTCACTTCACCGAGAGTAACAACACCCATCTTCTCAAAAACCAGGAAAAATTCAGATTTCAGCCCTATGAATGTTATGAACCACAAGCAGGCACCAACAAGTTCCAGCCCAAATATCCTTTTTTTTCCAGCTCAATACTCTATGGTTACTGCTTTTGACAGGTAGTTGTTTAAGGACACCAAATCTCTATTTTTCTTCTCTTAATGATCTATATTAAGGAGGAGAAAGTCTGGACTCTCTGGGGTGAGGTGAAATTAAGTCATATGAGTTCATGCAGGATTAGAGGGTGGTAATGGCTTTAAAATTTACTTTAAATGAGTGTTTATGTACACAATGTGCCTAATCTAAAGTCTTGAACTATTTGGTTGTTTGTTCTTTTGACATGGTATTATGAAGAAGAAAAAAAATATTGCAGGAATCCTGAAGGGTTGCAGTGCTTTTTGGGGATGTAATCATGGCTAGTGAAAGCTACCCATATAAAAGAATAGCTTAATTAGCTCTTATATTAAGTGTAAAGTCTTACCAAATTAGGGTATTAAGAATAGCTTAATATACCCATAAATTTATTAAGCAATGTTAGTGTATATATGTGCTCTTGGTATTGCAAACTGGTGGCTTAATTATGGCCTAAGATTGCATGGATCAAGTGGTAATAATGATCCCATCAATTCTTAGCATTTTCTTCTTCTTTTGTGTGCATGAGCCCGGATTATATCTGAATTGGAGAGTCAAGTTGGATCTTTAAATGGAATAAAATTATTCCAACACTACTTTTTTTATTTATAATATTCAAATCCAGAATTTTACTTTAAAGGACATCAAACTCATTACTCATAACTGTTGCGGAAGACGGCTATCGGATAGAGCAAAATCGCAACTGATAATTTGAGAAAATAAAAATGAAGATAAAAGAGACACAAAATTTATGTGAAAAACCCCTAAAATATTTAGGGTAAAAACCACGGGCAACGGTAGAAGAATTTCACTATGAGAAAAATAGGAATTACAACCTCTCTCGATCTACCAAGCAGAAAACAATGATAATTCTCTCTTGATAAAAAGGAGAAAATAATTCTCAAGAAACTCTCTAAATTCTCTCTAGTATTGGAAGAAAGCTAGAATGCTTTGGGATGGTTTTGAAGCTAAATGAGCTAGGGTATTTATAGTTGAAGCTTAAGGACTAATTTATAAATACCCTAACTTACAATGGCTAAAATTGAGGTTCTACCATTGTTGAAAAAATCAACAATTTCTGCAGCCCTTTTGACAATTGCAGCTTCTTTCTTTGACTCCACAATTCGGTGGAGATAAGTGGCAACTTTCGGTGTCACTTGCTCAATCAATTTTCAACAATCTCCCACTTGAAGATTTGATTGGAACAATCATATCTTCACACCATTCTTTCTACCTTGTACCATCATGTTACTTACGTTTCTGACAGGCCACAAGAGGATCGACAACAAGTAAATTTATCGGTATTGATTGCCTTCGTCATGAAATCTGCTATGTTGTCTTTGGTATGGATCTTCTGCATATCTATCGTCCATTCTTCCACCTTTTCACGAATGAAATGGTATTGAACTCGTATGTGTTTTGTCCTTGAATGAAATGTTGGATTCCTTGCTAAATGCAATGCGCTTTGACTGTCACAAAACAGAGAGACATACTCTTGATTGTGCCCAAGCTCCTCCAATAGCATCTTCAACCAAATTGCTTCTTTACTGGCTTGTGTAGCTGCTACATATTTTGCCTCTGTTGTGGATGTAGCCACAACTGACTGCAATTTTGAAACCCAGCTTACAGCTCCACCAGCAACTTTGAACACATATCCTGTAGTAGATTTGCTTTTATCCAAATCCCCTGCATAGTCAGAATCTACATACCCATTGATTAGTAAGTTTGATCCTCCGTAACATAATGCAACATTTGAGGTCCCTTTGATGTATCTTAGGATCCTCTTTACAATATTCCAATGCTCTTTGCATGGATTCGCCATGTACCGACTAACCACTCCCACTGCTTGTGCAATGTCTGGTCTTGTGCATATCATAGCGAACATTAAACTTCCCACTGCTGATGCATATGGTACTCGAGACATCTCCATCCTCTCTTCTTCACTGTTAGGACTCATACTGGAGGATAATTTGAAGTTAATAGGAAGAAGAGGGGTAGAAATTGGCTTACAATCTTGCATGTTGAATCGTGACAAGATCTTCTTCAAGTAATTCTTTTGTGAAAGCCAAATCTTCCTATTACTTCTGTCTCGGTGAATTTGCATCCCTAGAATCTTGTTTGTTGATCCCAAGTCCTTCATTTCAAATTCCATAGCCAGTTGTGCCTTCAATTCTTCAATATGATCTTTGTTGGGTCATGCAACCAACATGTCATCCACATACAACAACAATATAACAAAATCGTTATCACCAGACCTCTTGAAATAAGCACAAGGGTTTGCATTAAGTTTGTTGTATCCAAGGCACATAATGAAGGAATCAAATCTCTTATACCAACACATCGGCGCCTAATTTAGACCGTACAGAGATTTGTTCAACCTGCAAACCAAGTTCTTCTTTTCGTCTTCTTCAAAACCTTCAGGCTGGAGCATATAAATCTCTTCTTCAAGATTTCCATGAAGAAAAGTTGTTTTAACATCTAGCTGTTCCAGATGTAAATTCAATGTAGCACACATTGCCAAGACTACTCGAACTATTGTTAGTCGAACCACAGGAGAAAAAATTTCATTGAAATCAATACCTTCTTTATGAGCATATCCTTTGACCACCAGTCTTGCACGATACCTCTCCACTTGATCGTCACCATTTCGCTTGATTTTGAAAACTCATTTGTTACCAATTGGCTTCATTCCTTGTGGTAGTGGCACAAGGTCCCATGTATTATTTTTATGAAGGGCTTCGATTTCTTCTTGCATCGCCATCATCCATAGTGAAGCATCTGAGCTGTTTATTGCCTCCTGGTATGTTGATGGCTCACCGTCCTCTGTTAAAAGGCAGTATGCAATATTACCTTCTATAACATAATCTGAGTGCCAATTGGGACGTCTTCTCACACGATCTGATTGACGAGTTGTTGGAGCTTCAGATATCTCTGGTTTTTGTTCATCATGTGCTGGTTCTACTTCAGAAGAATCTCCTTCTTCAAACTCTTTTTCCACATGTATCTGAGTAGTCTCTGAATTTTCAGCGCTATCATCGTCTTCTTTTCTTTGTAGTTTATCTTATACAAAGATAACATCCCTGCTAATGATCACTTTGCGGGCAGTGGGATCCCACAAGCGATACCCCTTTACTCCATCAGCATACCCCAAGAATTTGCATTTTCTGGATTTTGGATCCAGCTTTAAAATTTCTTGGGCGTTGTACATCACGTACACAATACTTCCAAATACATGGAGGTTTGAATAATCAACTGGTTTACCAGTCCACATCTCCATTGGTGTCTTCAGCTCTATTGCAGTTGATGGAGCTCGATTCACCAAATAACAAGCGGTATTGACTGCTTCTGCCCAGAATGATTTTTCTATGCCTGCGTCCCTCAACATTGCTCTTGTTCTTTCTAACAAGGTTCTGTTCATCCGCTCTGCCACTCCATTTTGTTGAGGAGTGTTCGCCACTGTGAACTGTCTTTTGATGCATTCTTTCATGCAAAAGTCATCAAATTCTTCGCTTGTGTATTCTCCTCCATTATCTGTTCTGAAACACTTGATCTTATTTCCAGAATCAAGTTCCACCCGCGCTTTGAAGTTTTGAAAGTTGAAAACACGTCTGACTTCTTCTTAATAGGGTGCACCCAACATCTCCTGGAGTAGTCATCAATAAATGAGACAAAGTATTTTGCTCCACCTAGGGACGTTACTGGTGCTTGCCATACGTCAGAGTGAACCAATTCTAGAACACTTTTGCTTCTAGAATTTGATGTGTTGAATTTCAACCGGTGCTGCTTACTTGTTATGCAATGCTCACACAAAGGAAGTGATACCTTTGTTAAGCCTGGAAGTAGCTTTTGCTCCACAAGGAATTTCATTCCTTGTTCTGACATGTGTCAAGTTCTTATGCCATAGCATTGCAGAATCTGAACTACATGAGGTAACAGAGGCTTATGCTTCTAGCAATGTCTCTCCCTTCAGCATGTACAAGTTTGCAGCTATCTTTTCACCTTTCAGCACCACAAGCGCTCCACGGAACACCTTTATGATTCCTTTCCGTGTTTCAATCTTGCTAGCATTATTATCCAACAATCCGTAGGATAATAAATTTTTCTTCAGACCTTTCATGTGCCGCACATCTCGAACAACTTTTTGTTCCATCATACATCTTCAATTTGATGGTTCCCACACCAACGATCTCTAAGGCATGATCATTGCAACTATACACAGATCCTCCTGAGACAGGTTCATAATGATGGAACCATTCTCTTCTTGAGGTCATGTGATATGTCGCTCCCGAATCAATGAGCCATATATCTGTAAATCTTTTTCTGCCTTCCACGGTGGTTGACGCTTCACAGCATAGAGCATCTCCATCATCTGAAGTGTTTGCGGTATGCCTTGTGGATTGGAGTTTTATTTAGACTCCACAATCCTTCTTCAAGTGACCCTTCTTTCCACAGTGGTAGTACTTTAAATTCTTCTTGCTCCTCGACTTCGATCTATTAGTTTATGATGCTGCTTTGGCCACGTTCTGTGATCTCCTCTCATCGTTGTCAACGCTTCTGCTTGTTGCAGATTTACTTGTCTTCCCTTGTTCTTGCGCCGATTTTCTTCTTGTAGAACAGCAGCTGCAACGTCATCGAAGACTAGACTGGTGACATTACTGTTTGTCAAGTTGATGAGGAGTTGATCGTACGAATCCGGTACTTTGAAGTAGAAGTTCAACACGTTCTTGTTCTCTATTTTACAGCTTAAGGATGTAAGCTGAGAAAATAAGGTGTTCAGTGTATTAAGTGCTCGTCACTGAAGTAGATTCTGGCATACGGAGAGTGTACATTTCCTCTTAAGGAAAATTTTATTGTGCAGCGATGTGGCCTCGTACAATTTGATGAGATGATCCCATATCTCCTTAGCTGTCTTCTCCTCCTCGATGCTTGACAATACTTCATCTGCTAATGCTAGATGAAAGTTTGCCATAGATTCCCGTCCATCTCGTTCCATTTGATGTCATCTGCGAAATCCACGGCCTTTCATTGATAGCCGCTAAACACCGTCTTTCCTAAGATGGCCTTCATCTTCAATTTTCACAATGAGAAATTTCTCCCATTGAACTTTTCAATATCAATTTCGTGCCATTGCTTCGTTTACGGATAGCTCCCACTATTTCACTATCGTGAATAGTTCTCTGGAACCTTCAAAAGAAAATAAAAATGAA